AAAATAACTAAACATTGAGAAGGCAACAGCATGTATTATATATATTTTTTTAACTCCAAACGATCGGACACTGATCGAAACCAGTTGATAATCTCCTGTGATTCGATACATCTCAACTTGACGTTCAAATTAACCGATCACATTTTAATGCAGAAGCCGCGCACACATTGAGGTGAATATGAAAGGCTGAGCGGCGTATCAGTCTTCACTGGGCTGGAGTGAAATAATGACGCGGTTACAAGGTGTGTGTAATTTAAACTACTTGGTCATACTCGGCACTAACAGTAGCTGTCTAGCTGATGTTCAGTTTGCATACTGCTGCTCTCCTTCTAGTCACTATTGAACTCTTCCCTCTCTTGATTAAAGCTCTAGGTGAAGGGTTGCCAGTTATCACAAAAAGAGCAAAACAAGCTCCTTAAAAACGCAGTATAATAAGCAGATACCAGGGAACAAATTAAACAATATAACTAGTATTAGTAGTATCCTACAAAATTAAATGGAATTGATTATGAATATAATATTTCAATATAAAATATTTAGGCCTAGATGTTATAAGCTGATTGAAGTAAAACAATAACATGAGGTTTAAAAATAATTCAGAAACACCTTATTTAAAATTTAATTGCACCTACAAGTTGCATTTAATATCATTCAGTTGGGGCAGTTAATCTAAAAGTTGTGTTTTTACTAAATAATTTGCTAAATTAAATCAAACAAGGTGTAGTACTTTTCATTTCTAAAGTATTTGAGTTTATTTATTATATGAAGACCTTTTTGTCGATTTTCAGGATAACTACGTGTATAACTATTATCATGAAATATCGTTACTGTGAAATAAAATTAGTCATACCGTGAAACAAAATTTTGGTCATACCGCCCACTCCTAGTTTGCACTGGGATGAAAAACACAAGTGATTTCATGAGGTCATTAAACTTTGATTTTAGCACAAGTTTTAGTCTTGGTGTGATTTGATTTTTCCCAGTGAAGCCAAATGGCGAAAAGCCAGACGAGTTTGAGTCTGGCATTTCCCAGGTATAGTATATGATCATATCTTTTTGAAATGTAATCGTGTATCTGTAGCCCCTAATGATAAGCTGTTGTCTGTCTGATGCAGGCTCTTCTTGAGCTAGAGATGAACTCTGATTTGAAGGCTCAGCTGAGGGAGCTTCACATCACTGCTGCTAAGGTAAAAGCCCTGCTGGTTCATTCATTTTGAATGATTGTCATCAAATCAGTAATTCAACTGCTTCAGAAGCTGCTTCAAAATAAGCAGCTGTTTGAACTGATTGTTGACAACCAATGTGGACATCCTGTGAGATGGCTCTCATGTGGCTCTGTCCGTGTGGCGTAAGGGAGCGCAGCACTTCGGTGCCATGACGTACAGTCCCATTCCACGACGTTGGATAGCAAGCTGGTCCCCGGCCTCTGGCTGGTGTGGACAGCGTCCTGTATATTCCTACATCTTCCCAGAGCCCTTTGGGCCGTTACTGGGGAGGTAAACCATGCAGTGCACATACTGTTTAGATCAACAATGTGATATTTTTGCTGCAGTATTGGCATGTTGACCACCGAAATAACTATTTTAACCTTGATTTGATCTTGTCTTCTAGAGAAGAATCCTGCCTAAACCCACAAGGAAAAGCCGTACAAAAAACAAGCAGAAGCGCCCCAGGAGGTAAATGTCGTCTTGTTGCATTTTGGAAGCTGTGTTTGCGGAGTCAGGGTTAGTAGTACTGAATGAATAGTGCTGTGAATTTGCCTACTGTAGCAGTGTTGTGCTGATTAGCCTGTTAGTGTATAGCAAACCAACGTGGACATCCTGTGAGATGGCTCTCATGTGGCTCTGTCCGTGTGGCGTAAGGGAGCGCAGCACTTCGGTGCCATGACGTACAGTCCCATTCCATGACGTTGGATAGCAAGCTGGTCCCCGGCCTCTGGCTGGTGTGGACAGCGTCCTGTATATTCCTACATCTTCCCAGAGCCCTTTGGGCCGTTACTGGGGAGGTAAACCATGCAGTGCACAACCAAAATGGTTTTAAGATGCTTAATTTTTGTGTCACATGAACTTCTGTTGTTTAGTGGAAAAGTTTAGGGTTCATCCATTTAAACTGTGTTTTCCCTTTCAGCCGAACTCTGACTAACGTGCATGATGCTATCCTTGAGGATCTGGTCTTCCCCAGTGAGATTGTTGGCAAAAGGATTCGCGTGAAACTGGACAGCAGCAGGCTCATCAAGGTCCACCTCGACAAGGCACAGCAAAACAATGTTGAACACAAAGTGAGTACTACTATCTCTTTAAACAAAACAAAAAAAAAACAATCACCCAACGTGGACATCCTGTGAGATGGCTCTCATGTGGCTCTGTCCGTGTGGCGTAAGGGAGCGCAGCACTTCGGTGCCATGACGTACAGTCCCATTCCACGACGTTGGATAGCAAGCTGGTCCCCGGCCTCTGGCTGGTGTGGACAGCGTCCTGTATATTCCTACATCTTGCCAGAGCCCTTTGGGCCGTTACTGGGGAGGTAAACCATGCAGTGCACACTATTAATTGCCAGAGTGGGGTGCTATTTTGGGGGTTTTGCTGAATTATCAGGCAGTCCTTATTTTGATCTATGTGCAATTTAAACATTCTCAATTTTAATCTTTGTGACTTCAACTTGAAATGTTTTCCTTTTGACAACTTATAAATTAGTATGCTGTAGCTTTGTTTTGAGATGTTTCAATTTGAGTCACAATTGCCTAATGCCTAATTTTTTTTTTTTTTACTGGATATTTATATTTTATAACCAAGCTAATTTGGGTTTTGTTTCAGGTTGAGACCTTCTCTGGTGTCTACAAGAAGCTCACAGGCAAGGATGTGATATTTGAGTTCCCAGAGTTCCAACTGTAAAGTGTGGATGGCAAAATAAATTTGTTTACTGTCATGTTAATTGTCTGTGTTCCATTCTTTTGTTAAGTCATTGAGTGAAGCCAGACTTTGTATGTGGTCATATTTGAGAAAGGTGCGAGTTCATGAATATATTGCAGCAGAAAAAGACATGTTCTGAAAAGGTATGAGGTCATTATCATGCAGCAGATTATGAAAACAAAATGCAAGGTAGAGAAGATCCATTGTGGATGTTTTGACCCCGTTATGGAGCCCACAATGACAAGTGAACTATTTTATAGTGCTCGAACTAATCTCTGTCCTGATCATGACTCCCAGAAGATATGGTTAAAGACAAGATATAAACCAGGCCATCTGGCAGCCAAGATTGTGACTATATTAAGACCATATTAATTGCCAGAAATCATATGCAGATAGTATGTTGGTCAATGTCCTGTATTAGCTTTAGAATTAAAATGTTATTTAGGTTAATCAAAAAAGGTCTCCCCCCCAGCAAATTAATTGAGATTGAATTTCTCTCACCAGTGCAGCGGGTCAACCAACGGGCTTATTTTACAGAACTGATTCATGACGTCAATTTGTAAGCTAACTTGAAAGGCTCATTTTCTTGGCTTTCCTTCAATAGATTTTGTAAATAAAATAAATTATTTGTTTACCATTACATGACACGATCCTAACTCAAACGTGAATTTTAAAGCACCATGTTGCCGGATTGGTCTAGTTAGTACATAAATGACCCGTTTTACTTGTCCTGATTTAGCAAATTGTGCGCCGTTTAAAATGTTTCGGAATCCGTTCGATACAAAATCGATATACTGCATAATTGAGCACTGTAATTTTTAGGTGTTTTTCGTGTGATGGTAAAGAAATAACCCCGCCCCAATGTATGTTAACACCGATACATTTTTAGCATGAAAAATTGTGTGTATATAAGGCGTTGAATATTGTGCCAGGCCAGTAATTGTTCCACAGAGGGCGCTGTTATTCCAGAGATTCACTGACGTGGTTGGGAAAAGAATTGTTCATGGTAGAGGTCTGCACGGGCTTTAAACTGAAGCCCGAACCCGTCCCATACCCGAGATCGTCTCACCCGACCCGAGCGGCACAGTTAAATTCAGAGCCCGAACCCGAAATTTTTTTTTCCCCACAACGAATAGCCAATAAAAAAAAAAAATGCTGGATTTCACGATTGCATGCAACGGTCAGTAAACAAATACATGTCAGTTAAGGCTCGTTAGCATTCGGCCTGCTATAAATCAGACACAGAGATACAGTGCGGCAAGATCGCATTTATTTGAATTGGCGAGAGAGAGAGGGCTGGAAGTTGCGTGTGTGAACCTGCGTCTGCGCGTCTCTCACTACAAGCAATGAGGCTTAGCCTAGTTAGGCCTAGTTCAAAAACAGCGATTTTAACTTACCCCCTCATTGCAGAGAAATATAACGTATTCAGTAGCCTGTCGAAGCTATTTTACTAATAAAAGTTTCCGTGTTGTGTGCAATAATGTGTGTGCTTGCGTCTATGAAAGCAGCGTATATAGTTTTAGTTTAGCTATAAACCTATGGAATTATTTTTGTCAATAAAAATTAACGTAACTTTATAAAACTGAACATAACTTTTCCAGAAACTATCAAAAATATGCCATTACAAAAGAATATGCGCGCCACTGAGTGACGTCTGTACTTCCAGGTCAGAGAGCAGCTGTCCATCAAAAGCTCTCTAGCCAATCAGAGTAGATCGCTGTTAAGCCCGCCCCCACGAGAGGTTTGTGTCAAAACAGTAAACGAAAATTTGCGAAGCGTAAACGAAATCTGTGGCAACGCATTCAAAATCCACGATTTGCGAAAACGAATCTTTGAAAATCATTAACAAAGAATGAAGCATATTTGAAGAGCATGTTCAATTTGTGCGACTGAGTTCATTTTTTCATTTTCATTGTGTTTTTCTTCTTTTGTAATGGCATATTTTTGATAGTTTCTGGAAAAGTTACGTTCAGTTTTATAAAGTTGCGTTCATTTTTATTGACAAAAATAATTCCATATAAATCCAAGCCAGACCCGAACCCGAAGCTATTCATTAAACATTAACCCGAACCCAACCCGAAAGTATTTCGGGACCCGTCGGGTAGCAGACCTCTAGTTCATGGTAACGTTAGTAATGTTATGTAGTATTAGTCAGGTTCTTATGGAAATTCAAAATAGAAACTGTAGGCTACGTTTCCGTTAATGTTACTACAAACGACCAACGATTGTGTTTTGAGATTCCACCTGAGATTCCATTGCTTTCATAATATGCAAAGTGACTGTTGATCAAGATAGTGGACTTCGGTCTTTTTAAGAGTTTGTTTTGGAGAGAGTAACGTTAGTTAAATATTATAGTTAGTCAACCTATTATAACGCGGAGAGTTAGCGATTCTATCTACAATTTTCTGCTTGGGTTCTTGTAATATTAAACGAAAGCTACATTAAAAATTAGCATAACATTTAAAATCTAATCACAATAGGCTAAACATGGCAAATCGACCAGTGCAAAAGGAGACCAGCAGCCAACCACACTTCCTACAGTTCAACAACCTCGCATGCGAAACAGCTGGAGGAAAGGTGAAAAACGGTGCATTTGAAATATATGTCTTGTCTTACTGTATATATATTCTGATATTCATAGATTGCGTTTGCATACTGAAATTGATGAACAAACTACTAACGTTGTCATTAAAGGTGATTTTTGCTACAGATGAGTGGTTTGCCCCTGCTCGAAATCTTTTAAAGGTGAAGTCATTTGCATCTCCTCTGGTAATATTCATGTGTTCGGCATTTTCTAGTATTATTTGGTATTAATTATAATGATCTGAAATTATTTGAAGAGAGACCCTCCAGAATTCATAGCCTCAGCATTTACCGATTATGGGAAATGGATGGATGGCTGGGAAACCAGGAGGAAAAGAATTCCAGGTATTAGTCCATTTGCGCAAATCAAAGCGAGTTCACTGTAAAACTGTGAAATGGGGCTCTCTGTGTTCCTCATTTCTCTCTAATGAGCTGTAGTTCCATTGAGCCTGGATGAATTAGAGCAGAATAGCTGCAGGCTACTTCCTTCTCTCATCCATCCAGTCTCTGAAGATCTGTAAAATGAACGCATGAGAGAAAGATGTACTGCAATACTGAGACACTTCCTCATCTGATCAGGCTTTCAGGGCATGTTTTGTAATCTCATAGAGTGCTCTGTCTGTACTTACAACAGATTTCGGTGATCTCATGAAAGATGCATGTGTCTCTCATCTTGTGTTAAAGGTCACGACTGGTGCATCATTCAGTTAGGAGTTCCAGGAATTATTAATGGCTTAGATGTGGACACATCCTTCTTCACGGGGAACTATGCACCATTCACCTCCATTCAAGCTGCGTGTCTTGGTGGGTATCTATTGCTGCGGCCTTTAAGAACCAAAGTATAAGGTTACCTTCATTATGTCTAATACATGTCACATTTAATTCAGATCAGATGCCATCATTCACTCTTGAAGGAGATCGTACAGGCATGGCAGCTTCCCCGAGCCAGTTTGAAGCTGTGGCACAGGTGTAAACCATCATCCAGTGCAATAGATATTCATGCACATAATCACCAGTCTGTGTTTCTGAGGGAACTCATTCTGAATTAATATTGAACAGCTTAACACAGACAGCTGGGAGGAGCTTGTCCCGATGATAAAGCTGAACCCGGGGTACTCTGAATCATGCCACAACTACCTGAATGTCACATACCCACACAGAGTTACCCATATCCGCCTCAACATATATCCAGGTAATACACCTTCCACCACATGAATCATTCAGTGCAATTAAAAAAAAAAAAAGACAAAACAGAGAATGTGATCATTCATAATAATAAAAAAATGGCCCAGGGAGAGATGCTGGAGCAGAGCACCATCTTAGAGAGCCATTTGTTTTGTAAAATGAATACAAATGAAGGGTTGTAAAATGATAAAAAAAATATATTTATAATTGTTTTTATTTATATACCACCTAAAAACTGGTACTATATGTATTTCACTTTTTTATGTGGTGTTTTATTTACTTATTTTTCTCACCAGATGATTTCTTGCCCAAGGTGCTTACAAGAATCTTTCAGCAAATTGTTGAAACAGTTGTAGCTTTGACTTAAAGCTGAAGTGTATGATTTCCGTGCCACTAGCAAAAGTATTTGAAAATCAGTCAGAAATTAAAAAAAGGTACAAGACAGTGTACTTTACAGCTTTAATGAGGGAAAGAACCTAATGAAACATTGCTAATCACGTAACTGAATCTAAAACAATGGATAAATACAAAAATATTGATTTAAAGATGGTGGTTATATTGAGAAAATCGCCTTTAAAGTTGTCCAAATGAAGTTCTTAGCAATGCATATTACTAATCAAAAATTAAGTTTTAATATATTTACGATAGGAAATTTACAAAATATCTTCATGGAACATGATCTTTACTTAATATCCTAATGATTTTTGGCATAAAAGAAAAATCGATAATTTTGACCCATACAATGTATTTTTGGCTATTGCTACAAATATACCCCAGCGACTTAAGACTGGTTTTGTGGTCCAGGGTCACATATATAAAATGGAAATTTATTTTCAGAAAGCATATAGCATTGATTAACAACCCTGTAGTATTTTTTTGTTTTTGTTTTTTGCTTTTTCTGGAAAATCAACCTACTTATAGTTGTCTCAACATATTAAAATAGTATTTTACCCTAGAAACAATGGAATAAGTGTTTTAACATAAAATGACACCTTAGCTTTAAATATTGTTTTATGTTTGGCAGATGGTGGCATTGCAAGGCTGAAAGTTTATGGCATTGGGAAGAAGGACTGGTCCACTGTGTCTAGTCAAGACCTAGTGGATCTTGTTGCCCTTGTCAATGGAGGTGTATGTGTAGGCTACAGCAATGCCCACTTCGGTCACCCACGCAATATTATTGGTGAGTGATTCTTTGGACTGACAAGTAGATAAACATCTTAAAGAGGCATTATGGTCTTTTTGTTCAGTTGAGCCAAGAGAAGCATCTAAAATGCGGACCACTTTTACAGACAACAATCTCTGCTTTCAATCAGGCATATCATAAAAAACTCTGTCTGGACTGTTTCCCATTTTTAATAACGTCCTGAGAGAATACTACACATTACCCATCGTCTATTTAATGACTGTTTGGAGAAGATCATGGAATAACATGAGAGGTTTTGAGATCTAGATCAGTACTTTGTGATTGTCTGAATGTGTGCTTCTCTGTAGGTCTAGGTAGGGCTGACAACATGGGTGATGGGTGGGAGACAGCCAGACGCCTGGATCGGCCCAAAGTTTTAAAAGTAAAAGCAGTCATGTCATTTTAGGAAACTTCACAGAGATCAGTTAGATCCCACACTGATCTCATATATTGGTTTTCAGGTGGATGAGAAAGGCATATTACAGGTGCCAGGCTGTGAGTGGGCTGTTCTCAGACTAGGACATCCTGGCATCATAAGCAAAATTGAGGTAGACACCAACCATTTTAAAGGTACTTAAAGCATTGAATATTTATTTACATTTTGTAGCATTTTTTTGTCTAAATGTTTTCCATCTGAATCAACAGTATCTGTATGGAAGCCTGGTTCCGCCTCAGCATAAAAAAGTTTAAAAATCGTCAGATAAAAAGTTTAAAATAAGAAATAAAGTCATAATTACGAGAAACTATCAAATACAAAATAAATGGCTGCTGAAATTTCAGCTTTGCCATCACATTTTGAAATATATTTCTGTTTTGGTGAGCATAAGACACTTAAAAAAAACAAAAAACATTGTCCTTAGGAAATTTCCCAGACTCCTGCAAGATTGAGGCCTGCAGTTTGACCCCAGATGAGGAGAACAACTTAATTCGTAACCAGTGGCGCTCTGACAAAACCCCCAAGTGGAGAATTCTCCTTTCTCCTCAAAAAGTATGACTTGCCCAGCCAATAATTTATTTTGACTTCATCTTCAACTTTATTCCTTTTTGTTCTGTGTAAATGTGATCACAATCTTCCTCATCTAGCTGAAGGCACATCACAGGCATTTGTTTTCTGGAGAGTCTGTGGTGCAGTGTGGGCCTGTGACTCATGTGCGTCTGGTCATAGCTCCCGACGGAGGGGTCAGCAGACTTAGACTCGGGGGTCGACCGGTGTCAGACAACTTGACTCATCCTCAGCAAATCTCCAAACTGTAATGCCATCATGTATTTTCATTGCACAATTACAGAAGAATGAAGGTCGTCCGTTGTGATGTCAAATATTAACACCATAACGTTAATAACAACACTGAGGACTGAGAACATCATATATACAATACTATACATTCACCAAATAGCCTTTGCTATGGTACAGTATACAATGGAATTATTGTCAAGGCTAATGTTTCACAAAACACCAATAAAATACTCTCATAATAACTAAGAAGATGAGCCTTTACTCATTTTGTGTGTCTTGTATATTGCAGAATCTGATACTTTAGATATAAAAATAGTTAATAGTAAAATACATATAATACATTGTATCACTTTGTCACTTGTTTGCCCAGATCAATTTTAATTTTAAAACAGTAATGTGAGGAGATGCAGACAGTAAGACAGTCTCAACTTAACCCATGTGTTTTGTATGGACATCATCCACGGACTGTACAGTTGCATTGTAAATAACAATATGATGTCAATATGATGTAATCGACAAGATAATATTTTAACAACTAACATTTTTCATACATATTTGAAAGTTTTGCTTATGTGCATCATAGAAACCGCTCTGAAAGATAAAAATAATAATAGTAATAATAAAAATGACTTGTTGTTATTAATATTACACGTAAAATAATTACAAAAATACTAAATGATGGTAATAATTATTATATTAGTATTTTTTATAATTATTTTTTATTGATATATTTGTTGCTTTAAACTTTTTTGTTGCTTTTCAACAGTGCTATATTATAAAAGGAACAACAGTGTTGGAAAAAACAACAACTGCCTGCTGCATGTGTCCCTCTTTGATGGGCAGTATTTTCTAAAATATTTTGCTGACATTTTTCTGATAAAAGAACATGCATCAACAGGTCTTTGATTTAAAAAAAAATATGTCTGAGTCTCAAGAAACGAATTGGAACTTATCTCTATTTACATGAAAAGTTGCTGTTGATATATTCTTTTGACCTTTCTGTCACTACGTGCTTATCCCTCGGAACAGTTGGTTAAAAAAAAGAAGGTGGGATTTTGACATTCAATGACATGTTTCGAACTAAATTTACTATGTGCAATTGCACAGATAGCTTCTGCAGATGCAGAGATTTTCCAGTGAGCTGTTTTCCCCCCCTATCATTTTGTCATGTTTCTCCACAGATTAAAGCAGCGGTCCATAGCAGGACAAATTGTGTCGACATGGTGGAGAAAGATTCTGCAGGAGTCATGTGCTATCAGGACAGGCCTTCTGTGCAGTTATAATACCCCAGCCATATAAAATACAGTCAATAGACCTCATTCATGGTGAAGAAATCTCAATGTAAGTTGTTCATGAAACCATTCCATTGCAAACGGTTGCATTAAACTACCTTAAGAATGGGTTTATGAACTGTTCATGTTCTGTTTGTGTTTCATGAATGAGGCACTTATTCTAACTGAATCTGAGTGAAAAGAGTTGTCACTATTTTTACAAACAATAAAATCAAACCACATGACTAAGATTTCAGCATCAAATGACATAACCAAAACAAAATAAGCAGAATTTAAAACTGCAAAAATGAATATGCATATTGTGCACAAATTTCTAGATGTCCTTGAACAGCCTGACATGTGGAGACGCAAGACAGCACCAGACATCTCTCATTTCTCTGGAGTCAAACAGGCTGCATTGTGATTAATTACAGTATATTATGCTCACTCATGCAGACATATGAACACTCACTCACTCACTCTCTCACACACACACACACACACAGGTTTGTTTTTGTGAAAAGTGGGGACATCCCATAGGCCTAATGGTTTTTCTACTCACACACACACACACACACACACACACACACTCAGAGCTCTTTGCTGTGGAGGAAGATAAGTGTTTGTTGGACTGAGCTTAAATGACAGAGGGGGTTGAACTGCACACTCAGCACTTTGCTTTGAGAAAAGGTCAATGTGAAATATCTTACGTGTCTTTATTATCATGAATTATTACAGCTTGGTTTTCCACGCCAACTCTTTTGTTGGAAAAAGGTTTGTTTGTGCTCATATGTTGCCATCCAGATGAGTTTATCATTTTTTATCAATTCATTTAAAACAGATTTCATAATAAATGTTTAATTTAAGTAACAACTTTTGTCTCAGATGTTTTCTCTAAAATGAGACTCAAATGAGGCACTTGTTGTAGTACAGGGCTAATATGGATTTAGTGTTGGAAGAACTGAATAAGAAATATGTTGAACTGAAAGATTTCTTTTATTTAGTATAAGTTGAATTATTTAAAGGGGTCATATGATGCGATTTAAACTTTTCCTTTCTCTTTGGAGTGTTACAAGCTCTTGGTGCATAAACTGAAAAAAATATAAATATACATATATGGCTATACTATATAAACATATAAAAACAACTAAAAATGATGAAAACAACATAGTGACTAAAACTAAAATTAAAATTAAAACGAATTAAAATATTAATATGAACAACTATACAAACAGTATCTCGATACTATAAAATAACACTTTTGTATCTTGTCAAATCGGAGCACATTATCAGACATTGTTGAGATCCTGTCTGAAACATGAATATGAAATTATTTTTGTGTTTTTGTTCCTCAATTTAAGAAGATAAAGACAAAAGTCTCCATTTGCTTTTTAATCTTATTGCTGTTTGTGGGAAAGAGTTCAGATATTAAAGACATATAATTTGTGATTTTTAATATTGGTTGGAATCATTCAGAGAAAAAATTTAAAATGTCCAAAAAGTAAAGTGTGTCTGAATATATATTTTGAATTTTGGATATGTTTATGTTCAAAAGGCCTGTTATATGGCTTACATGTAAGTTGGGAATGAATTTTAAGCCTAAATAAACCACATGGTGTGCTGCACATAATATTATTAGGTCACTCTTTATAACTCAGCAGAACTGCTGGACTCCACTGTCACCACATACTGTCCTCAGATGATCCGTTTATCCAGTGCTCACCAGCAGGAGGCGACAGAGGCCCAACAAACCATTTCTGACCCCACAGGTAATGCCATACTTGAGTATATCTGCTGTCTTAGCATGCCCTCTCTTCTATCTGTCACTGTTTGTGTCTCTCTGTGGCACGGTGTGTACTCCAGTGGCCGCAACAGGCTGTAAATGTAGGACATTCTGAATCAAGCAGTCTATCAATCACACTTATGGTGAGGTGAACTATGAACTGTCATTGTATGGACCAGAACTGCATTAAAAATTCTATTGTCTTCAACAGGACAAAACATATGGATCTGGTACGACATTAAGGTGTGTAAATAATGACAATTTTTATTTTGAGTGTCAGCGGGTTTGTTTCTTTAACAAACATCAATGTGTTCAGTGCTGTTTGCTCTCTTGCAATGATGGGATTGTTTTGCCCCAAACCCTGAAGCTCTGTTAGTGCACATAATCAGTGCACATTGATGAAGTGGGAAAAAAAGTAAATCTATAAATCTACTTCTCATCACCCCAAGGGAGAGAAACATTTCACCTAGATGCCCTGATCTGATATGAAACGCTCCATGAAATTCAGATTTGTAATGTGCGCACTGGCTCCCTAATACACACACACAGACACACACACACACACACACACAAACTCCCTTTCTGCCTCCACCTTGCCCTCCTCTCTTATTCGGCAGCCCTCTCCATCAATATCTGTCGGTTGGCTGCCAAAAAGAAGGATATGCTCAGGAATTAACTATTTTTTTTCTAAACCTTCCCTTCCAGCATGTTTGGATTTTCTCTGTTTGATCTGGACTGTTAAATAAGACGAATGCTATTAGAAATTCATGGCTGTGCCGTGCCATCAATAAATGATTAGTTTGCAGTGCTTGCCAGTGATTGATTGGCTGGGCAGGGGATGTATTGGAACCAGACTTATTCAATGCCACGGCGAGTCCCTGAGGAACGGCTTAGCTTATCAGTGCCTGAACAACTTAAAGTGGTGTTTGTTAAGAAAGGTAGAAAAAAGAAGACGTAGAGAGAGAAGTGATTGATTGGCTGGGCAGGGGATGTATTGGAACCAGACTTATTCAATGCCACGGCGAGTCCCTGGGGAACGGCTTAGCTTATCAGTGCCTGAACAACTTAAAGTGGTGTTTGTTAAGAAAGGTAGAAAAAAGAAGACGTAGAGAGAGAGAGAGAGCTAGGAATTTAAGACTGCTTGTAGTTAATTGCACTTATTTACTCAGATCTGAAAGATCTGAAATACAGAATGCATAAATGCATCTTGGAAAATGCCATTTTAAAGCAGTACACCTGATCAGTGTCAAGGTTTATTAATGACTGTATTATGCTACATTATTGTGATATACATATTGTTTTTCCAGCCCTCAGAAATCTCTTATGCCAAGGCTGTGATCAAAAATACAGTAAAAACAGTCAAATATTATTGCAATTTAAAATAACTGTTTTATATATTCATATATTTTAAAATGTAATTTATTCCTGTGATGGCAAAGCTGAATTTTAAGCAGCCATTACTCCAGTCTTCAGTGTCACACGATCCTTCAGAAATCATTATGAAATACCAAATTTGCCTAAAGAAAATTAATCAGTGTTGAAAACAGTTGTGCTGCTTTTTTTTGTGTGAAATCTGTGATGTATATATATTTTTTCATAATTATTGTACAAATAGAAAATTCAGAATGTGAAGGACAGAATGTCTTTCTGACCCTAAACTTTTGAATGGTATATACACATCTCTCTGGAACACTTCATTCTGATTAGTCATTTGAAGCATTGAGCATATAATGATGCTAAATTGTATATTTCACCATTGGTCATGGCAAAATACAGTACTATATACATTCATGACTCTTGTATCATTCCACAAACTCATGTAAACACAAGTACGAATAGCTCATTAGCGCCATCTTGCAACTCAAAGTGGTTATTACAACTATCAACTGTAATTAGCAACCGAGGACTAAAAAATATTAATTATAATACAATTAATGGGCATAAAACATGACTGAAAATGAACGAAAATTCAGGAGTCCCCAAATAAAGCAATTAAAACGTTCTCTTGGAAGAACAAAAAGCTGGTAAGAGAACTGTAAAGCTTAATATGCTTTGTTGGATTGCAGATTAATAATATCTAAATTAATATTGTTGCAGTGTTTTGTTGTTGCTTGTTTTCTATGTGTTATGTCAGGGACTGTTTGTCTTAGTGGTAGCTTACGATAACATAT